CAGCCTATATAATGGTCCCTCTTCAGCCATTTTGAGCTCTTGGCACTTCAAACACTTAAGCATATTCAGAGGTTGAGAGGAGAAACAGAGAGAAGGCTTCCAGCCCTTGCGCACGCGGCCACAGCCAGGGGAAGAGGAGGAGCGAGGTCCAGCCCTTTCCAGCCAAAATATCTCGAGGCTTAGCAGCATCTATGTATTCTTTAGATTTTTCTAAGCCTTTGGAGCTCATAAGGCTCGGTCAAACCCCATTCCAAAGCAAGCCAAACCCCTTAGGCCGCACTTACACACCATTTGAGCCCTAGCTTTCATTCTCCATTTGCAGCCGAGGTAAGCTCGTGCTTCTTGGGTTATTTAGTCAATTTATGATATAATATGATTTATCAAGAGGTAAAACCGAGCCATGCATGAGTTTAGAGGCAACTTTTGAATTTAATGAATTAATGGCCTTAAAAATGAAATTCGAGTTGCATGCATGCTTAAGTCAAGATTGTTAGTTTAATCACCCTTAAAAATCATGTTATTGATGGTGTTATAGTTTGAGAATGAAATGAGTTCATTAACTTAGTCAAATCATTCATGAAAAATGTGTTAATTGGACCACCGAGGCTTAGTTTAATGCATGCATGATATGACCTGAGTGTTAGCCATTATAGTCATCATTTGTGATGTATAACATTCGGCCCTGAGTAAATTTGCATGTTGAGAATGTTGGTTCGGAGGTTAAGTGCTCATACGTGCAATTTATGCCCTATCGAGTAGCATGCACGTGGACCCGGGGTCCACTAGTGTTTCATAGCTTATATGTGCCTAATTTATCATATCATTATGTTGTGAGTTGCATGTCACCGAGAAACCGGAGGTCCGACAAGGGCCGACCATGGCCACTGTCCGCACACATAGCGCGGCAGTACCCGGCCCCGCGTCAGTCCGTGCCCGCGCCAGCGTGTGCGAGGTACCAGCGCCCGCGCCAGCGTGTGCGAGGTACCAGCGCCCGCGACAGAGCGTCAGCAGCGCCTGTCCGCGTCGCACCCGAGGTCTCGGCGCCAGTCGCGCCTAGCACCTCCGACAGCGCCCGACAGCGCTGTCCAAGCCCATGCATGCGTGGTCCCGAGCCAGCCGCTCATGTCCCGCGCAGAGTCAGTCCCGAGAGCCCCAGCATGCGTGGCCATGGCACCCAGCATGCACGGCCCACGCGCACGGCACCCGGCAGCGCTGTGCCAATCCACAGCGCACGAGGCCTCGCGCCAGAGCCTCGTGCCAAGTCCAGTGCTGACCCGAGCTGGGTCAGCTGAGCCCAGTTAGCCTCGGTTCGTGCCCCAGCAGCATGCCCGAGTGCCCAGTGACCTCGGGGACTCCCGGCAGCGCCTGAGGGGCTTCTGTCCGCGCCTTCCCCGTGCCAGCAGCGCCTGGCCAGTGCCTGTCTGTGCCCAGCCGCACGACAAGCCCTCAGTCCAGTCTCGGCCGTGCCCAGCGCGCACCCGAGAGGCACCAGCCGGAACCGGCCGTTTCGACTGACGGTTCGAGTTAGTTTTGATTCGTGATTTTCGATCCGAGTCTCTTTTCGGAATTTTAGTATTTTTTCGAGCAAGTCCAGTCCAGTTTAATCGCGTAGATAAGTCCGAGCATTTTAGCATATAATTATTTATTCCGAGCATCATACTTAGCATTATTTTGCTTAAATATTTATGTAGCCTAGGAGAGTCGAGCCTCCGACCGCTACCCAGTATCAACACTTGCATCAGATTCCATGTTTTCAGGTGGGGGTCATGTACTGGATTCCACATCATAAATAATATTTGTACCATGGCAGGGGTATGTTTGAGACAGTTAGTATCCAGGTGGGGGCCGACCTAAGGGCTTAAATATCCCATCTGATGACCGGTGGGGGGCCGACTTGAGGGCCTTTATACCCCATCGGCGTGTGCACACGAGCGGCAGACCTAAGGGCCGAGGGTCTTTTGACTACAGAAAAGAAAGAAAAGAAAAGTTTACACTTGCAGCTCATATATATATAATTATGTTCATGACACGTTATTATAGATGATGTTTTATTCAGTACTGGTCTTTGCGGAGCATAGTGGTTTGCTCACGCCCCAATTGTGTTTTTCAGGAGACGGAGTCGAGCGTGCCGGATGAGCACAGATGTGGCGATGCATGGTCATGAGAGTTGGGCATATTTTACTCACATTTTTATGTCCTAGTTTATGATCATGTATTTGATTCAGTTATATATGCATGTATTCTGTATTTCGGATGCTTCCGCTAACAGACTAGACAATGCGAGACAGTTCAGACATTGCATGTTTAATTCCATTATCCGCAGCGGATAGCTTGGTTGCATGTTTCATTTATGTCTGTGAGAAAGTTAAGTTAAGTTTTTATCTGTAACATCCCGCAATGAGTCAGTATTTTCGAAAACCAAGCTCGCACAACCTTTCGAAAATAAAAACAAAAATTTTACTCTAATTTTTCAAAGCTAGTAAGGTGGGGTGTGACATAATAAGAATAATTCCTCTCTTCTCTTCATTGATCATTTAGAGCATCTCCAATGTGAGATGTTGACTTAATAAAATGTTAGCCACATCATCAAGTTATAAAGTGAGTACAAAAATTACTCTCCAATCCATAATATTATGGGCTCTTTTATGCTGACATGGAGATAAGAAATTTCCAAACAGTGAAGTCCACTTTCTAGTTTTCCAAAGCCTGTTTGAAAGCCAACTCATCAAAAATCTAACCTATTTGACTGATTTCCACAGCTGGAAAAAACTTTGGCGGGGAACGATAGCGCCAATTCATAGATTCACCTCCTTTGAAATCCCTCTCATATTCTTTTTGCAGATTTGTTCATCAGAATGAGCTCGAAGGACAATCAGGTATGAGGCTTTTGTTTATTACCTTTTTTTTTTTAATTTTGTATCATGTATTATTATTAATTTGGGATATATTTCAGGCTTATAGCAGAATAGAATTGTTGTGCTTCAGATTCTTAGTTTTTCTCGCAGTTTTATACAATTCTTGCTAGAAATCTTTTATTTGTTTTGCTAGCTTTATCCTTGAAATAGAAAAACCTACTGATTTATTATCATTTGGAATAAGCATATGAGAATATTTTCGTTGTGCCTCAAACAAAGCTTTGCAGTATAATCATATTCTCCAAATATGTTGCCAATAAATGAGTGTTTGTGTTGTCTTTTGAGATTTTGGTTTAAAACATTAAAAGTTACTCTGATAATTTCGTAGGTGATGAATCGCACTATAACTCCATATCTTGTCCTTGAACCATTCAAAGACAACAGTTTTTTTATCTGCTGGAATGTGGTCTTTCTAGATTAATTATTTTTTCTTCCATCCCTTTATGCAAATGTCATCGCTTCTTTTCTTTGAGTGAAGAAATATTTCCACACAGAGGTTGTCCACACAATCTGATGGTGCGAGGCCTTGGCCCCGATTTATTTTTAGAATTGTAAAAGCAAAAATTCTTATGTGATTGTATTTACTATTTAAATATCACTTATTGTTTCTTACTGAAAGGAAATTATCTTCTCATCAATATTCAGGCTGGTGATCTAAAACAATAAAGCAGGAACATGTTCAAACCAAACCAAAAGGTAGAGTTCCAGTTAGATCAGCTTGGCATCAATCATACATAGTCCATGACCTGTTCACCTATGTTGATCTTGGAATTGGAATTGTCAAGCATGAGTATCTGTAATATGCTTCTTGCAATTACCACTTAGTAATTTTTTAATATTTTCATTATACATATAGTACTTTTTTAGGTCTGTTATTTAATCCTCTATTCATTTGTCATGTATGATATCGATGGAATCACATGACCAAGTTGATTTTTTATGCAACAACAACTTTCCAATCACATCCCAAAATATAAACCAATTGAATCTTGATTCTATTTATTCCATGCCTCCACATAATATGAACCAATTTAATCCTGTTATCTATCATACTGCTCCGCCAAATGGAATGTATCCTCTCAATCTTGATCCGCATAACACGCATAGATTTTCCTATCAAGATATGTTGAATATTCTCATTATCAACCCACAATGTTCCCACTTGGTCAAGGCTTTAAAAAAGCAGCCAAAGACTCCCAAAATTCAAATACTTCTCAATCGTCAATTGCTAAAAAGGATTGGACTACCAAAGAAGAGGAGGCATTAACTGAGGCGTGCTTTATATCTCCGTGGATGCTGATGTGGAAAATAACCAAAAAAATGCTGCTATGTGGGCACGTGTCCTTGACATTTGGAAACAAAAAATGGGACCTGACCACCACACAATGAGAAACAATAATAGCTTGCAGTGTCATTGGTTCCAAATACGATCCGCAGTAAGCAAATTTGTTGCAAAGTATGAGCAGCTCGAACGACATCTACAAAATGGTACCAACCCAAATGACTTGGTAAGACTATTTATCTCGAATATAGAGAGAGAGTGATTCTTCATTAAACTTATTTAATATTTATTTTTGTTTTTTATGGATTTATATACATGATGTTTGAACTAAAATCATTTATGCCTTGGTCACACTCAATCTCAATAATCATATTATGCAAAATTATGCATGTCTTCATTATTTTTCCAAAGTTTGTTGCGCTACACATACGTGCTGGACCTTTTAGTATATGCCAACGACTTTGTAACACACCAAATTAAATGCTCTTTCCACATCCTTCCGAGTAGATTCTTGGTGCTTTGCGAATAGTTTCTCTTTCAATAGTTGTGAAATGGTCTGGATCAATGTAGCATATTAACGATAAATTCCATCAGATAAGTAGTTACCCATATTATAGTGATGACCTTGCACAAAAAAATCGCACGATGGTGCAACATTGTTAACTATATCATCAAATAGAGGAGATCTATCAAGAACGGTCACATCGTTGTTGGTACCTGCCATAACAAAAAATGCATGCCAAATCCATAAGCTTTGTGAAGCTACAACCTCAAGGATAAGGGTTGGAACTCTTTTAAAACCGCTAGTATATGCACCATGCCAAGCAGTTGGACAATTCTTCCAATGCCAATGCATACAATCTAGGCTGCCAAGCATTCCTGGAAACCCTCGACTTGCGCCTTCTTCTAATAACAATGAAATATCATGCTTATTTGGTTTTCTTAAGTATTTTCTTCAAACAATCCTATTATAGCATCACAAAACCTCTTTAGGCATTCAATTGCTGTGCTTTCACCAATTTGAACATATTCATCAAGGGAATCAGCTGAACAACCATACGCAAGCATGCGTATTGCTGCTACTACTTTTTGCAAAGAACTCAACCCTATATTTCCAACAGCATCAACTTTTTGTGTAAAGTATTCATCATAATTATTTACAACTTGCAAAATCCGTTCAAATAATTCAATATCCATGCGAAATCGACGCCGAAATTTGTCTGGGGTGTACTTTGACTTGTCACCCTTGAAGTAGTAGTTTACAACTAATTCATGGTGATCTCTCCTATCACGACGAATATAGGCCCTGCCAACCGTTGAGCCTCCATGTGGACGTTTCCTACCCGTTAAGAATGAGGAAATCATAAATGGAACATGTACTGTACCAATTTGAACCACGTCTGACTCTACATCTTCATCAAAATTGTCATCTCCAAACAATCCCTTAGTAAGTGAAAGAGACTCAGTGCTCAATGATCCACCCATTGAGTGTGAGTTAGAGTCTTCTGATGTCATTCTTTCTGCATAAATACGATAAGAGTTTTTTACATGATAAAAAATTGATCACAATTATTAAACCATAATATCAAACATGAGGAGAATTACATGAACAAAATATTTTCACCAATTGTTGATACAATTAAAAGAGCATAAAATATGGATTAAAAATTATGATTACCTGTAACAACAATTGATGGAGCCTCCTTTGACGATATTTTGTGTTCTAGACGAGAAAAAATAACATCGAGGTGTAACTGAAGAGATTGGGTGTTGAGGAATTGAAAATTGGAGGTTGTGGATTCTACGTGTGCTGGACGAAAATGAAAAACTTGTGAAGGCTGCGTACAAAATGAATAAGGCACCGTAAGGCAGGAAGTGAACCAATTTGATGCAATTTTGTTCTGAAGGCTGCGTAGGGAACTTGTGGAGGTTGCCAGTATTTAGTTTTTAGTTTTTTTTTTAGCTTATTTATTATTAAATAAAATAAAATCCACCCGTACATATTTTAAGCTTTTGAAAGGGATGCATTGGAGATGTGCATTCAAAATTAAAATCTGCTCTTTTGACATTCATATTATATGGATTTTACATTCCATTCATCATTTGACATGTGTTCAAATTTAATTAATGTTGAAAGTTGAGCATTCGAGATGCTCTTAGAATGTAGAGAAGAATGTGGATGAACCACATTCTTTACTACATTGTAGACATTAATTATGCCCACATCGTCACAACATTTGTGATCAAATTGTATATTGGAGAATAAAAATTTGTGACTTTACAAAATGTGTTGACGTGGAATGTAATTTACCACAACAACGTTTGAGCATTGGACATGCTCTAAAGTATCGTGTTTTATTTCTCTAAATATTTTAGGCCCCCACTCATGTAAACTGCTAGATCTGCCACCATTTTAATTAAACATATGTCGAGACAAAAGGTAATTACTTCATTGTTTGAAGAAAACAGTATCCCGACCACTTTTTCTATGGTGTCGACACAGTTATTTACAAGTAGAGTGTGTTTGGTTATCGTCCCTTAGTACGCTTGATTTATTCTCATATAAATTATATACTTTATCCATTTGATAACATAAGGTACTTGTTTGGTTGATTTTTATTATCATTACTATAGAGGGCAAAATACATTTTTTTTCCTTCATTTGCAGTTGAATTTGCAAAATCACCCACATCATACATTTATTTTCTCACATTTAACAGTTAAAATTATCCAATCTACAATGTCTAACCCCATTGCAAATTTGAAATTCACATAATAATTAACTAAAAGTTTAGCAAGCATAAAAGGGAAATCCAAAATTTTCTGAAGTATCCAACTTTGGAGCAAATTGTGGGGAAAAGGGATTCAAAATTTGCAAAAACTATCTTACAACTATTAGAAGAAAGAAAGAGATCTGACATACACGAAATGGATCTGCACCAACATTTTCCTTTCCATACTTGAAATCAAGCTTTGGATCCATATATAAGCATTCTCCTCTTTCTTTTCCACCAAGGATGAAGCAACAACTACGAGATCTCAACGGAAACAAAAATATTTGAATCTGGAAAAACTACGAGATCTTAACAGAAACAGTTTTACCATCCATTCCACTTAATTGGATTTGGAAAATCCATTTTTAACGAAATATTTTGAAAGAAACAATTTGGTATTTGTGTAGTTTTCAATGAAAAATGGGGTGGAAACCACATCCTAGCCTCTAGGTGGGATATGGTATAAAGAAAGTGTGATAGAAAATCGGGTCATACCACATTTCAATGAGAATGATATAGTATGAAACTGAGTGATATCAAGCCTAATCAACCCAACCAAACGGACGTACTGATACGTGTGAAAAATAAATACACACATGACGTGCCAATACATCAATTCATAAATGATTTTATAAGGAAGTCATTCATTGGCTCCACAAAACTTTTACTCAACACTATCACCAAACATCTTAATCTTTCTTTCATTTATTTTCTTTCAAAAGGCAACCCTAAACAGCTAAAAATTAGGGGTGGGACCTGTACAGTTCTTGTGTAAATTTTTAGAAATCGGAACTGTTATTCTCATAATATGCTCGGTTCGGTTGTTGCACAAAAATTTTCAGTAACCGTTTTGGAACCGAACCGTGGACAACGGTTCGGTCAACTGATTTTTCAAATAACCGACTGTTAAAGCACTGATTACTGATCGGCGTAAATCAATTTCTCAATATCGGAGGAATCACACCCATCTCAAATTGATTCTCAAAATCACATAGCCACCACTTTGTTCCTGCTCTCTGTTGCCTTATTTTATGAATTTTTAGATCTGCTACAACTCTAGGTTGCCACGAAGAAGGGGGCCAAGTCGAATTGATGGTATTCTCGGTCAGATGGTGATACAGTCAGTGGGTTGCGGCTATTACGGTCCATAGGCATCGAGAAATCAATTTTTTTTTTTTTCAGTCTTATGGTGATGACGATGGCGAGTGAAGACTAAGATTGAAAAACTACAGAAACTGGAATGAAGTTTACAGACTACGAGGAAGAAGAATTAGGGCATATGGGTCAGGTGTGAGAAATTGGGTTTGAAGGGGATTAAAACGGAGTGAAATTTTGTTTAGTGGAGGTGATAGGTGTTAAGGTGTAGGTTAAAAATGAAAATATTTGACGGGCCACATTAACAAAAGATAGATTTGGGCCTATGTTGTCGTACTATGCCAGTGTTATTGGTTAAGTTGGAGCATGTCCACGGTTCTTCGGTTCTTGACATGGTCAGAAAACAACCTAAAACCGGAACCGAATATGATAGGAAAATAACCGAACCGAAAAAATCATAATATACTAACAATTAACCGAACCGAACCGGCTTATTTTGGTTCGGTCCGGTCCGGTTTCTCGATTCTCGGTTTTGAAATCCCACCCCTACTAAAAATGCCTCAATTGCTCCAACAAAAACAGTAGCAGGAAAAAGAATGATAGCAAAATAGGTAATTTTTTGCTCCATATAGATTACATGACCCAAATCTTACACGTGCATCCACAACAAAAGTCAGGTACTGGCAAATTCATACCATACACATGCAATAAAGCAAGATGAACAAGCTGGCCAACAATCTCTCCAATTGAAAGATAAAAACTGTGTAAAAGCAAATTTAGGCAAAAAAGAGGATCATTCCAACACAAGTAGATACAAACGGAAAACGAAGAAGGCAATAAATAACATAATAAAACTTATTTGAAACAAATGGGTCTATATCTATATGTCAGAAAAATTAAACCTCAAAGATCTACCGACACATTTTGCGGTGGCTGTTGGAGCACGAATAAACCAACCAGCAAACAAAATTTATTACATCACAATTCTTTAATCCCAAACTATGCCAAGACTGAATACTTACAATAACAATCAAATAATTACCTTAGACAAACCAAATATTGACTAATAAACTGAAGAAATAGTCGATGGCCCAAAAATTTCTAACATGGATTCATAACGATATCATAACTCTGATGAATAATATTTAGATGCTGGCAATTAGGAAACAAAAGTTCGATTAGAAAGGAGATCTATTGAGCAATTGTGGTTTAGAAGAAAAAATGCACTACCGAGGAAAAAATAGATAAAGCCGATAACAATCCTTTATGTATATAGCTTCTTAGTAAACTGGAAAAATAAGATATGGGAGGAGAAGAAATGGCAGAAAGCAAACAGAGAATGAGGCTGTCAACCTTAAGGGCAAAAGGGGATCACAACTTCATAATTCCAACATTAGGAGATGTCAGGTACAAAATAAAAAAATGATAAAAAACCACAAATTTTGAACTGGATCTTTTTAAAAAATAAATATAGTGACTTTTAAAGCATTTTTTTTTTTAAAAAAAACTCAAAGTACAACCAGGATAAGCACTTTTCAAAACAAGAAAGCTATTGTTAGGAAATCCTAATGATTAGACAATCATACTTTCAAATTGAAATATAATACGCAAAAAAAAAAAGCATATTCATTTTTGTTGAAAACGTATGACATGTCGACTCACATAGCTGTTAGGCCTCCTTACACAAGAATTTGTGTCTTTAAAAAGTCATACGGAAAACCTCGTTCCACAAATGCACGTGTATAAACAACAACAACAAAGATTAAGCAATCTAGTCCGAAATGTGTACTTGAAATTACTATAACAAGCACTAGTCCAATAAAAAAAAAAAGGAAAAAAAAAAAAGAAAATGTTCAACGGAATGTGCAGACTGCAGTCATCACAGCATCCTTGCTATTGGAAAAAATGGATAGATAAGATTGATAGGTAATGGCCACACCTATTAACACCACAATAGAACGCTTGTCTGCTTCAACTAAGGTAAAACAAAGAATGTTCAAATCTGCAGCATACTAGGAAACAAGAACTTCCACAAAGATTCTTTGTCAAAACATAGTATAACACGTCATGTTCTCAGTAACACATGAGTAGCATTAATGAATCAAAATTCTATGTAAAGTTATATTCATCAGCATTAATCCCTTTGCATCTCACAACACCTAAAAGTTAAAGACTAACAGAGATGCTAAATAATTACATGCGTACATACTATAAAATATCACGGTCACTTTCCAAAAATCGAGATGAGGACCAAAGTCTCAATAGAAGACTAGCGCAAAAAGATTTAACTGGTATGTTAATTTGGGCAAATGTTCGACGAACAGTTCTAAACCTAGTTAATGAATTATACCAACTCTTGGAAACAAAATGTAAGAGCGCGATTGGCTATTAGTTAAAACCGATTTTGACTTACCAGATAATTTTTTACACTACTGAACTCAAAAAACAACTCAAATTTAATCCAACTCAACTCTCCTCAATATTAACAATATATTTAAAAAATATCAACCAATCATCCTCACACATCACACCAACTTTAACTCACTATTCATTCACTCATATATTTTGAACTACAGATCATTTCCAATAACCTCTCTCCTACTTTTACATCACATCAAATTAAATCATTACATTTTACATATTATTTAAATACAAACTCAAAATTCTAGTCTATCCTCCACTCAATCAACTTTATTCAAAACTAACTCACTTTATTCAATAAATCCAATCAAAACCATTTTTACTTATATCGAATCACCCTGTGATTATCTTCTGAGAAATGTGAAAATTCATTAGGAACAAAAAGTATAGTATCTCTTTAAGTCACTTTTAAACGTTACAAGCATTATGTAATTATGCAAACAAACAAACTTTGACACCAAGATAAGAATGCCTCTAGATATTAATCAGTGAAAAGTTAGTTTAACAATTAGGGGAGTCATTCAAGTATTAGAATGCTCTAGCCCGAGCAAACCCAAGTTGGAAGCACCAGTAAAAACACACATCTCAACACTCACGCCCATCATAAGTACCTGTCAACAAATCATATTTTTCTCTCTCTAAATCTAAACATTTGCCTAGTGAAATACTATGTTAACTTTCAGTTGCTAAATCTCTATTTCCTTCATTTTCCATGTTCTTTCAGTTGAACTCGCCACATCATAGTATAAGAAAAAACAAATTAGCTGAAAAAAAAAAAAATAACAATGCATAGTAAAAGAGATAGACCAACCATAAATATTTTGTACATACAATATGCTCACACACAACACTCAGATGAGCAAGGCAACATTCATATCCAAGCCACAAGTTTGGACCACCTGCAGCCATTAAGCTGGGCAATCCACAGGGGCAAAAGGATCTGCCAAACTCTTTTCCTCATTGAGCCAGTCATCAACTCAAGCCAACACATGCAGGAATTGGTAATTTGGAAACACGAAACAGACGATCAGAAAACAAGATACAACAATCAAACGCGTGTTTACTGGGCAGTTTGCAAACAAATCAATCTTCTTAGCCAGATTATCATGTAAACCCTTCCTTATGGACATGTTCATTAGAGTTGACAAAATAATATCCAGTTCTATGATTTGCTTGCCATCCTCACATATGGTAGATTATACTAACTAGCTGAAAATTCCAGAAAACCAGGAGGATTATTCTAAGAATCATAGAATCTATTATCTGTGTTAATATATACTTAATTCAAACACCAATAAGCTTCCTGATTATTATTATCTTCTATCTTTCTCAAGAAATGATTATAACATGGTTTCGCAAAACTAGGTTTTTGGCACCAACAAAGCAACACAAGAAGGAAGAAAGCAAACCATTACCAATGTAAGAAATCAAAACAATACAGAAAGAGCAAGGTATCCATGGAGCACCTCAACTAAAAACCTTCCGCCCAATTTACTGTGATAGTTCTCATACAGCAATTTAGAATCGTCAATATCTTCTCACTCAATCAATTGACTAACCAATAAATTTCATCAAAAGGAAGTAAATTTAAGAGTCAGGTAAATCGGGTGGGGTGGGGGAGCAACCATTTTCTGGTCAGGCCGAGTGACCAGAAATACAAGAATCAAACAGAGACACTCAACAGAAACTTATAAATGTCTTCAGTGTAGAATCAAACTTACTACCGCCGAGTGACAAGATTTTGGGAAGGAAAAAATAAAACCTAATCGAGCTCCCTTTGAACCTTTATCCCCATGGAATTAGCAGTGCCAATAATGGACTTGGAGATGGACTCGAGGGACATGTACTGGCAGTAGGGATCGCTCTGCTTGATCTTCGCGATCTCGTACACATGCTTGAGGGTGATGGTGGAGGCCGTCACGTGACCAGGCCTGCTGCTCCCGCTCTCAATTCCGGCCGCCTTCTTAAGGTACCAGGTCACGGACGGAGATTTGACGGTGAATTCGAAGGTGTTGTCTGTGAATGCAGTTATGGTGACAGCCATCGGGGTCTCGGGCTTGTATTTTTGGGTGCGGGCGTTGAAGTCCTTGCAGAAAGCCATCAAATTTAGCCGGTACTGACCCAGAGCAGGACCCACTGGAGGCGCCGGCTTGGCTCCACCGGCGGGGACGGTGAGTCGGATGGTCGCCGCCACTGGGCGTCGAGTCAGGATCTCTTTGAGCGTCGCCATATTTCAGTTCTGGAGAAGAAAGGGGTTCTTGTGGTGGCTGACTGGGAAATGCTAATATAATAGGCTCTTGGATTTACTAATTTATTAGAAAAAATGCTATGTCAATTTTTTAGTCACGCATATGTGGGTCCCGCTAAAATGAACCCAAGCAAGCAGAAGCCACTCCCGCAGTTTTATGGCTATCGCGGATTTACATCGTACACCATTATCCATTGCCAAACCCCAACACATTTCATCGAAATGGCGTCGTTAAGTTCCACTTCCAGCATTATTTCGGTCAGGTTCAGAAACCCTAGAACCCCGTCCAGATTTTCGGATTCTCCACACGTCATCGTCCTGTCCAAGCTACTCGATTCCTCAAAACCCACGCTCCGCGTTTCCTCCGATTCCTCTCCCAAGGCCAGATTTGTTGCCCGCCGGACGGAGTCCGTCGCCGTCAATCAGTTCCAACGCCCTCTGAGTAATATATTATTCAACTTTTACTTTCTAATTTTCATTCTAAGGTGAACTGTTTATCTAATTAATTTTCCTAACCATTTTGCTTTTTGTATGAATGCATCTTTGTCATTTTTTGTTTAAAAAATCTCTGTCATGCCGACATTCTGTATGTTTACCGCATCACTTTGTTTTGATTTTGCTGTTTGTTTATTTAGTTGAGTATATGAGCTTGCCAGCAAGCCAATACTCGGTGTTAGATGCAGAGAGGATAGAGCGAGTGGATGATAACACCTTCAGGTGTTATGTCTATAGGTTTAAGTTTTTCACTGTTGAAGTTTGCCCTGTTTTGTTGGTGAGGGTGGAGGAGCAGCCACATGGTTGCTGCATTAAGCTCTTGTCTTGCAAGGTATGGATCTCACTAGCCTGGACAATAACATTGTGTGTAGAGAAGTATTATCTTTAGTAAAACTTTTGGTTCACAATGGTGACTTCATTGCAGCTTGAGGGCTCCCGCATGGTTGTTGCTCAGAATGACAAATTTGATGGTTAGTGTCTTCCCTAATACGACGTATTGTATTTCATAGGCAGTAGTGAATTTACTTTGTTATCCTTGTTCCCAACTTATATTTATTTCTTATTTATTATTTGCAAATTGGTTGATTTCTAATTTCTTGATATACACATGTCCGATGGCGATGTGGGCCAATAATTCTCTTATCGGACAAGTAATGATATTTGCAAATTGGTGTGACTGCTGAAAAGAACCGTGACTTTTGCTCCTTTCTCTTTTGCTCCAATATCTTCCTTTTGTTTTTGAGCCCTTTTTGTGTTTATCTTACCATTGGTTCTCTTGGGTTTCATCTCTAGCCTACCCCAACTTGCTTGGGACTAAAAGGCTATGTTATTGTTGTCGTGGTGGTGTGACTGCTGAAAGACAAGCATGACTAGCAAACAAATCCCACCGAATTCAAACTGACTATATCTTACTTTGGGTTGAAATGATCAAAATATAAATTTTTTTTAAATTTGTGATACGTATCTTTTTTATCTATAGTTCAATCGCTCTATCTGTGGCTTGTTGACTTATAGGTGAATATGGTCTGTCATTATTTCACTTGACTAAGATCATTAGCAAGTTACGACTGAGTATTTGCTTAAGTTGTAGGTAAATATTTGTTACATTCAGTCCTTAGGTTTTAGTAGAAAGTTGCGGTCATTATCTTTCTATTACTTTTGAAATTCTTATTTCCATTTTTATCTGTGTAACAATGACTTTCTTTAGCTTATTTAATTCTTCCATGGATGTGGCTCCTTATTCATGAAAACACAGAAATCCTAGATGAATAAGAATGGTAAGTTTATGGTAGGTGCTAATGTGGGCAACAAATCAAGTGTAATAAGTGGAGGAGCCATCAAAGAGAACATGTCTGTGATGCAAGCAAATGTTATTGGATCGGAGCATGGGACTCCTTCCGGATTGCAAGCTTTCAAAGTCCAAATAAATAAATGATAGAGCAAATATATAAAGTTCTTCAGAAATAGAAATAACTAGCGAGACTACCTTTTTAATCAATTTATCAATTTGCTTCTTCCTAGTTTCTATTAGCATATTCATGTCTCTAGCTTCTCTAGCACAACTATGTTGAAAAAATGCCTAGTTGCATGCACTGTATGAGATTGGCAATTGTTCCCAATTCACACGGAGAAATTGCTCATGCGACACAAAGAAAACAATGCTTCTCTGCATCATCCATATAAATCCCACTAATCACTTTCAGCAATTCTCCAAAGTTAAAGTCATTAACTTCGCCAGCACCGATGCAGATCAAATCATTGGGGCTAGCATATTCAGCGAAAAAAGTTCAGTTTCCATTACAGAAGCTGCATCAAAACTCTGAGGGCTAGCATATATTCTTATTAGCCTTTTGCATTAAGAGGTTCCATTATAGCAAGGAGAATCCAAACAGGATTATTTCTTGCATGATTTTTTGAATGCTAAATTTTTTTAGTCTGAAAAGCCTTAAATTTTAGTCATGTGAACTAGTGAAGGATTAGCGACAGGTTTCTTTAACAGTTTCACTAAAGTTAAGTTATTCGTACTTTGTGTGAGGCCTGATGTCTCAGGAGAATAATTTAATTTATTTGCCTAGTAATGATCCCATCAATTAAGGTGGATGGAATCAAATGTGCTCCTTTTGTTCTCTCTGCTATATCATACTGATCCCTCAACTTCCTGCCATGGATCAGATGCTGGAAAACATTACTGTGTGAAATGAGTTGTGGTTAGTCGTGTTAAGTTGACACTTTTATGTTGATAAAAGCCATGCTAATGATTTGTGTCTACATTCTACTGTGTTCTCTGAAATTGGATGGTTATATCATTGTATATTAGAAATACGATTATTTATCCTTCTGATGTAGTGTCGTTTGATTCTGAATATTAATATAATTCTTTTCAGGACTACTTTGACACTTATTTGGTATGGGCATGCAGCTTCGATGGAGAATAAGATATCATGTGATAGTACAAGAGATGATTCACCTGTTCAGAAGTTAACTTCAGATGCAGTGATTGAGGTAGCTCTATTATTTCACCCAGTAAAATCTTTCCTAATGCCTTGCCAAGTGGTTTGATGTTATTGATACACCATCTTCAGGTCAGCATTGAAGTCCCATTTGCATTTCGCGTAATTCCTACACAGGCCATTGAATCAGCTGGCTCCCAAGTGCTAGACCAGATACTGAAGGCCATGCTTCCAAAATTCCTGTTTCAGGTCTGCATCTATTTCTTTTTATGTATGCTGTGTGAGACTTTCCTGCAATAATTATTCTTTTACTCTTTCCATTTTCTACCATTTTCTCCTTGTCCTGTTAAGAATACATGTAATCATGTATGCATGAATTCTCCAGCATAATAATTTGGAACACCGTCTTTCAACATCTTGAGTTACTTTTGAGTTTGCTATGATGTGTTTGAATGTATACAGAAATGTTGTGTGAGTTAAAACTTTTGGCCATCCTTTGAAGCTGAATGCAAAATTTGCACGAAACCAGTAGGTGAACAAGATTACTTGAAAAATTCTATTTTGATATTTCGCAGTTAGTGAAGGACTATGAAGCCTGGGCTTCGGGAGACACTTCTAGGCAGCCTCTAGGGACGGGTGAGATCTAAAAGAGCATTATTGATTATCATGGTTAAAGCTCGTCATAAGTATCTGTCTTGTTGTATTGTAAATTATTGAGTTGAACGAGGATAGCCAACTTGTGAAAACCTACACCAATTTAGTGATAATGTGTGTTTTTTAATTGAAACTTCTGCTTGGTTTTTTCGTCTTGAGTTATCAAATATTTTTCAGGCATGAGTTGCTATTATTGACTGTAGAGTCCAGATTACAGATCAAAGACAGCAAATTGGCGAGTGCTAGTATGAAACACTAGGGTCGCAAGCCAAAATGTGAAGCGTACTGCATACAGATTTCAGATCATAACAAAAAGATCTCCTCATTTTCAACTGTAGTTTGGAGATGAGTGGAGGCTCTAAACCGTTAAAACAGGCAAGATCTAGACGTGAGTGGAACTAAGTGAGTTAGTTGGGATGAACATTTGAATCATGTATCAGGAAGTTGAAATTGTGAACCTAAATTTATGAGGCTGTCAATGAATCAAGAATAAGATGCTGCTTTCTTGCTATTAACAGTAAGGTCATGATGGCATTATTAAATTATTATGAAAAAAAATAGTTTTGTAATGTAATTTCAGGTTGCTTAAAAACATGCAATACAGTCGGAATCACCTTCAGTGCAGTCAACAGTATGGTCATTGAACATAAGTAAATAAGCGAAAAGCATAGAAAAGAAAAGGTATAGGTTGACAAAAAGAAGGAATAGCTAAAAAAGGGAAAAAGAAAACACAAGGGTCAATGGACGTTTGTCATTGAACATAAGGAAGCTAAAAGCATGGAAAAGAAAAGGAAAAGGCTGAGAAAAAGAAGGAACGCTAAAAAGAGGAAAAAATACTTGGGTCAATCTTCGCCGGTCGCCTCAATCAGTTGAAGAGAAGGCACAAACTAGTTTAGGCTTTTAGAGAAAATGTGTAATTATAAGAAATTAATTCACGACCGTCACGCTAATATCTTTTACATGCTAGCTCACCTAAGTTCTTTGTGGTTCGAGCCTCGCCTCATTTTGCATTAAGCTTGTGCCTAGATCTTCGGGAAGGGCGACTTGCCACACCTACTCAAAACACCAGCCTCACCATTCCTCATGACATGGCTATGCCTTTTGAATCATCATTGACCATTTATAGAATACTATTCTATTTTGTACCCGAACCTACCCCGCGACCATAGGCCTGTGCCCCGACCTGACCCGTGATCCGCCACGGGTCCAGGAATGCCGCCCCACGACCTGGCCTGCGCCGGGGCGGGCCGCCCCGCCCTGGCCCGCCTTTATTTTAATTTTTGCCTACAAATTGCCTACAATGGAATGAACATGATGGACCTAGTTTTTGGGCCTTACATGGGCCATTGCTTTATTTTTTAGTTCATCAATAAATCCAAAAATCATAGAGCAAACAATAACATCATTACAACACAAAAAGTATAATAAATTAAACAATGGCCCATGTACTAAAAGCGGACTCAGAAGCAACCGTAGAGACTGGAATTCCTAAGATATCCTGAGCAATTTGATGCAAATTTGGGTACTTGCCTTTATTAGAGTTCCACCAACTTAAGACGTCGAAATCGGGCGTTCGTGGTAGAACGTCCTTATCCAAATACAAATCCAACTCCGATTTTGTAGACTTTCTCTTTCGTTGAGAGGCATACAGGTCATATCCACTAAGTGAGGGGTCATTAGAAAAATTAGGATCAAGCAAGCTACTTTTATCACCACCTCTCTTCTCTTTAGCCTCGTATTGTTGTACCAACTCACGACAAATATCAAGAATCTCTTCAACCTCAAACTCGCCATTAGTATCATAAATCATTGGAAAATAGTACTCAAACAAAACACATTTATACCTAGGATCAAGCACAGTCGCCACTCCCATGATACCATGCGCATCGGACCAATAATTATTAAACTTAGCCAACATTTCTACAGCCATTGACTCCACCTCACCGATACCGCAAGCAACCCAATTATTCAAGGCAAGCTTTAACTCACAAATTTTAGGAAAATACAAATTTGTAGTGGGATACTCGGTACCAGAGAACAACTCAGTCGCTGTATAGAATACTTGCAATCTCGGACAAATTTCCTCAGCCATGTGCCAATAAGTTTCACTAGGCAAAGATATAATTTGGATCCCAAACATTTAAGCGAGAAAACACTTTTTTATAATCCAAAGCAATTTGTAGCATCAAGTACGTGGAATTCCATCGAGTTTTACAGTCAAGTGTAAGTTTCTTACCAAGTTCCACACGAAGCTGTCGAGCCGACTCCTCGAATTTATCCATTCTCGTAGGAGTCGCGGTTCAGTAAGAAACACTGTCTCTCACCTTCTCAATGGTTTTTCCAATGACGCGCAACCCGTCTTGCACCACCAAATCAAGACATGAGCTGCACATCTCATATGCAATAATTTCCCGCCGCACAGTAGAGAGTTTGATGAAAGTTTCTCTAACAACAATCTCATCATAGCATCATTCGTCGAACAATTGTCCACCGTGATTGTGGATAACTTGCGATCGAGGTTCCAATCTAAGAGGCATCTAGATAAAGCTTCACACAGAACTTCGCTAGTATGCGGGCTAGGCACATAAATGAACCTGCAAAAAAAAAAAGGTATCATCCATCAAGAATACAATGTGTTACGGCAATACGGCATGTGTATACAATCTAGTAGAAAACAAGAAGTTTCTAATAAAAAATTATTGTAGATACCTGATAATATGAGACTGCAACTTCCAATTGTTATCAACATAATGTGCAGTGACCGCCATGAATCCTCTCTTCTGGTGAGAGGATGTCCACAAATCTATTGTGATTGCTACTCGACTCTCATTCACCCCAAAAACATGCATCACAAATTCCTTCAACTTTTCATAAATCTTAAAACAATCACTCTTTAATGTGTTCCTTGTTACCATTTTAAAGCAAGGATTCAAAACTTTTTGCAAAGTTTTTGAATCCTTCATGTTCAACCATCTTCAAAGGATACTCATGCTTGATGATCATTTTCGCTAATTCTTTACGTGATAGCTCTTGATCAATACTATAGGGCGACAACTCAAATTGTTCCTTCGAAAAATTGCCTTTTAGAACCATTTGTCTAATGTCCTGTGACTTTCTTGATTTACATCTTTCAAAATGTTTTCTCAAGTGACTAGTTCCTTGGCTTGGATTACCTAGCATATATTTCCTGCAATGTTTGCACTTAGCCTTTAATGTTCCATTCACCATCACTGGCTTCTCATACTCTTACCATATTTCCGCTTTAAGGTTTCTATAGAGTTCACCATTTTCGGTTGCCATTTCATTTTCAACACAACCCAAAGTCCGTGGAGTCACAGGAGGGCTCATCTCGTCTTCAGGAGTATGCATACAATCATCGACAGAAATTGGCAATGGCGGTGCTGGTGAATTCTCAGGTGGCATATCAACATTCTGGCTACAAGTCGGTCATTCTCCGTGATCTACCATCCTGTGGATAAATTTGAAAAATATAGTAAGCAGTATATAATTTCAAGTATATAATCCGCAGCAAAAAAGCAAGTAGCAGGTAGCAACAGAGGACACTATGTCTCTATTCTAAACTCTCCACATTGTCCTGGATTCTCCACAGTATTCCCTCCAGTGTAGTATCAGCTTCACTAATTCCATATGAAATTAATAATCTTGGTGAAGTTGAATAAGTACTGTAACTACCTTGTTTATGTAGTATATTTGTGGTTTGTGAATATCAAAATGACGGCTTAAGGAGACTGAAGAAAACGAAATAAAATCAAAGTCAAGGCACGTAATAATTACGTTCTCCTTAAGACAAAATTGCCCCGTAAAAAACCCACCGTTAACGGAAAACGCCTCCAAGATACAACGACTTTCGACTTGTATATAGCGGTACTTCAAATATACAAGCCTTCGGCGAACACTACTATTGTTTGGAACTCTCAAGACTCAATGGAAAAAAAATCAAAGAACACAATATGCTATATGATCTTTGAAAAGTAATGCAAGCGCTCTCTAATTTTCACAATATTAATGATTTCAAGTATGTGGGTATTTATAGATGTAGGGAAACACCTCCAAGAGGTTTAAGTGTCAAAAGACACCTTTTGGGACGTGCCCGAACGAGAACATATGCATCTAGTGGCCAAAAGATACCTTATGGTCACCAAGGGTTGCGACCATTTAATTTCCGCAGCCAGTTGCGCGCCCGTGCGCCGCGGGCTCGTATGAGCTCATACGGACTCGGAATCGAGTTCCGTTTTTTCCTACTTGTCCCCAAAGAGCCCTTCTACAATTCTAGCATACATAATGCATAATTATGGCTCGTTTAGTTCGTCTGAAAATTTGTCAAATCAGAATGTTTGTGAACCATACAACCTTTGAGTTATTTGAATTCAATTAATTAACATATAACACTTAGAATTAATTTCTCATTCACCTTAAAAAGGTTTTGAGAATTTCCTAATTCTTCTACTTACGAAAAGTAGAATCGTTAAATCGGTACAAAACCAATTTTATCTTACAATTCCCCACATGAATGAAATTAATGCATGTATGCAATACTTGAGAGTTCCGGCAAACCGTCATTGCATCAGGATAGATAGCTTGTGGCTTTAAATCTTCCTTAGTGAAATACTATCGGATACACTAGCCGGTTAGTAGCGCAATGCTTTGAACTTACCGGTTGTTTGTGTGCACCAAGACAATAGTACTCACACAACAACAACTCTAACAATTTCTTGTTCTCACGTTGTGTCCATTTCGGCCTTGGACCATATCTCGGTTTAGTAAGTGTTCGTTGAAGCGGCCTATTTACTTCTCACTTACAAAGGTGATTCTCCTATAAAGAGTATTCTGCCTTACTCCACCCGTAAGTATAGGAATCATTAAAAGTCCTTGACTTAGCCTCACCACTTAGGCAAATTTTAACACTTGACGGTTCTAGAAATGAGCAAAAATTTTCAAGTGTTTCACTGAACTGTCAAAACTTAGTTTTCCCATTGAACCAAGGTTTTGGGATCTCCGATTCTCATGGTTGGGTTACCGCTAAGACCGTTCGTTTGTTGTGGATTTTTATTAAGCTCATTCCCTTAACCAGTTTGTACAATTTATCTCGTATCATGCTTTATGTAAACGGATCCGTTAGGTTTATCTTTGACTACACATAGTCAACCGATATAACCCCCACACGAGATAATTTTGTTACTGAAATTAAGTCTCCAACATCTATGTCTAGATTTACTATTGTACAAACTACTTTGTGCTCTTCCAGTTGTTGATTGATAAATAATCATCTCAATGAGCACAATTTATTCCACCTAGGAATATCTTTTAGAAAATTTCTAAGTCATTAGCTTCTTCCATGCCTTTAGTCCAAATTTATAAATTAGGACATCATTGTGGATCTAGCTTTATACTAAAATAATTTTCATGACACAACTCTACCCACCTAAAGTGAACACATAGTCACTTTTTGTCTTAGAGTTTTTCATGTCTAATACTCTATTCAGCATGATCAAAATTCATCGCTCGAGTTACTCGTGAATATCTTAGTTTGCTTGCTTAAATGCAACATTGAG